TCTTCTCATAGTCATTATACAGCCACGTTCAGCGCTCACCGGTGCCTTGATTTCAGGTGAGATAATCGATCTGCTTAAAAGCAAACTAAAGTTCAAGAAGTGTTTCCCAGAGGAATGAGTCTGAAAACGACTGAAAATGCGTCACTGACATATACAACAAAAGCAGCCATTACTACTGAGCATTCAAGTAAAAACAAGACTGCAGGCACAAATTCAGCTAATGTAAAATTGCACATTGTAAAATAGTTTTCTCCTTCTCAGAATGAAGTTATATTTATTCAAATGGGTGACGTGTTTGCTTTGCTGGAACAGCTTCAACAGCACCTAAAAAAACATCTTCTCCATTTCCTTCTCGGGTCTGTTTGATTACAGTTCATTTAAATATTTTCATCTAAGAGGGCTTTAAAATCCACTTTTATTTTTTTTTTGCTTTCACGATTATGAGCCTGTTTTGACTCTGCTCTAATTGGAGTCCTATTAGCTTAAACTGATGCCAAATACAAGGCAAATGGGAAAGCTCAGAAGCCAATTAAGCATTGCTAATCAGTCCAATTATAGAGGATGAGAGTTCAAACAGGCATAAAATTATGTTCACCTTACGTGACCCAATTATACTCGCTGCCTCATCTGACCAGCTGCCAGGCCTACTTGTTAACTGGGTGCTGTGTGTGGGTGGGTGTTGTAAAGCAGTAAACAATCAAGTGTTTTGTGGGGTTTTTTTGTTTGTTTTTTTATTCTTAGATTTTTTTTTAAGCTGCATTCGTTACACTTACAGCTCATTTCGTGATGAATATTGCCGTGATGTTTTTTTTAAATACGTTAAACCTGATAATTGTTACTGTCTTCATTGCACTGTAACATCAATGTGCCGAACACAGTTTTGTAAGTAACTGTCACAAAATACATTTGATAAGCGCTCACATGTGTTTGAGGAGAAGTTTAGCACACAAAGCATTTCCTCTGAAAGCAAGTGTAATCTTATTTAAGCTGCTTGTTTAAGGTAAGGTGGATCCTGATGATAATGAGATTTATTAACTCAATGTAGATTAAACCTGGTCTTACACTTTCGCTTGCACTAAAGCATACGCTTTCTTCCCTAATCTCTATTTCTCCATGAGGAGATCTGGATTTTTGAGGGTGCATGATTCTCTCAGAGCAAACCAATCGCTCCTCAGATGTGACATATGGCTTTTGACAGAGGGGCATGGCTGAGCCATCGGTGCTCCGACAAGCCAATCGTATGAGGGGTTGCAAAAAAAGAAAAGGGTGGAAGGCACGTAAGGGCAGGGCAACGTCGAGACGAGCCCCTCAGACAAGACAAGCAGCAGCTGGCAAACTGCATCAATCTGTAATCAATTAACCAACTGGTAGATGGGATTACATGCCTAACTGCACAGCTAACCAGTCCATCCCAAAATGACCAGACAGCATCAGCTTGTGTGCTTGACCCAATACCAGAGACCGGCATTATGCTCGGGCTCCGACAGTGATTAATCATTCATAACCTGCCTCTACACCCAAGCTTTGAGCCTGTCAATACACAGTGGCAGGAGCTGCATGTCCTTCCTGACAAAGAATGACAACAGGAAA